CTTTTATATTCGGATTACAGCCAGGTCTCTCTTTGTCGTCTCGATCACGAAGGCTAACGTTCGTACATTACACGTTGCCGGTTTTCACCAGCGCCGATAAATATCAGCTGCGTCGTACCGTCCACCACGGCGTTCCTCGCCTTCGGCGATTAGTCACGTTTCGATTTCGTGGGACGATCGACCGCTGCGCGAAATGGGCCGCCTGCTAAGCAACGCGTTTTAAACGGCCGTTCGTGGCCTGCGAGCCTGCTACGTGTCCGCGTAAATTTTCGTTTTCAACAGGCTCGAATCCTTCGCATTCGAGGCTAAGACGCTCTATTATTGTAAATAATGATTTAATCTTGGATTTTTACTCTTTTATCTTGAATAATTATTTACTCCAGACAATATTGAGTAGATTAGAGTGTACATAGTTTTAGTAACACAAAGGGATCGAACCTGCACAGTTAAAAATCTTTTGTAAACCGGGTAATATCAGCGATGATTGAATGATAACATTTACGTTCCGCGTATCTAAAGCAATTGCATTATATCAGTCAGCTGTTGAGCAAGCGATTAATTCTATCGTTGTGCATTTGTGTATTATAACGACTTCGCGATTGCGCAACGTGTTTTCCAAATGTACTTTCCAGAAATTCGGCAGCGAAACGACAACAACGCGCAAAAATCATCCATCACGCCGGGACATTCGGAGAAATTCCCCGATTGTTATCAGCAAACGTCGTGGAGGTATAGAGCGCGAGTCGCGTCTCTGCGCGTTGATTACGACGTGAGCGCAATTTAAAACGGAACTTCAACTGAATGAGAGATTATAGTCGCGCCGCGCGGCCTTCTGTCGCGTTATCGACCGCTTAATCACCACCGAGGCGCACCTATCACCGATAAGAGCGCGGCAGTCTGTATGCGTGGCTCTCTCCGTATATTCCTCCGGCGCGACAAGACGCGCGACCTTTCCGCGCCGAACAAAAACAAAAAGGAAAATCGAATTTAATAGCCTGAAGACGAAACCGACGTGTTCGCACGACAAATATTTCACAAGCGAGCGTCCCTCCGCGCGAATTATTCATGTTTGCTGAATATTTAATGAACAAAAGCGTCTCTTTTCCCCCCTCAAACGCGCGTTGGTTTCCTCGTAATTAAAATTTTCACGTACAGAATTCGATTTTTTCACCTCTTTGTTTGTCCTTTCACCATATTTCACGCGTACTCCCCCACTCGGACGGTCTACTTAACGATTCGTTATCACCGTCGCAAGGTTAATTCGATACCGTCGCGTCACACCGTGTGAGGGATAAAAAAAAAATCCACGAGCGAGAACACCGCTGGGTCTCCGGCGAACGCGATTCGCGATACCGGTTATGGATTCGACCGAGACAAGCATCGATCGCAACCGACGGGCAACCGACGATACGATTCATCGGCAGGCGAGACGTGTGTATCCATCGATCAAACCGCAGCAGTGTGCTGCTTCTCCCCACGTTAAGCTAGATCCACAACTAAGCAGAAGTGTGTACAGTTCATGCACGGTTCATGGATTATGCATAATCTACATAGATCACGTGACAGTTCACGTAGACGTAAACTATTGTTGCTTCCACCCCTCCCCCCCGTACAACAATAGCGAACAGCATCATGTTACAGATGCGTTTAGAGTTTAGGCGAATCGCAAATTTGCGGACCGTCAATTTTCGGCGGGTAGCAAAATTCTTTTCCACTTGTTTTGAGTACATAAAATATATGTGCATAAAACGAGTCTACAACATTATTCATACATTTTTATAAATACTTTTTAATTGTATATATATATATATATATATATATATATA